CTTTTGTTTGTAAGTCATTCTAATAGAACTCTTCCATCAAAGTCCAGTCAACACACGATTTGTGTCAGCACAGGATTTGTGTCAGCATACTGTATACACAAGTGAAAAAACCAGAACAGAATTACATTATCATTCTTGAATGCCTTGATCACTGGGGTGTAAAAGGGTGCAATTAGATGGACAAGGTTAACAATTACGAAGTTCATCATGACTGCTACCTAACATGAATGCCAGCTTCTCAGGATTTTAAATGTGGTTTAGACTTAAAAAGTTAGACATCCCTTAACTGATTCCTTGTTTTGGGTGATTATCAAGACAGAGAAGTTAAGAGAACATAAAGAGCTTAAAAGGACTGAGAAAAGGGAGGAAGCAGATTGAGAAAACCAGTCCTTTAAAACATGAGTCATCACTATATGGATCTAGATCTGTCATAAGTCTGTATTTACTATAGATTTAGTCATAATCCACCAGTAAGTACTCGAATATGTTTAGTTTGGTTTTCTAATACTAATCTATACAGAGAGTTCTGTTGTATTTTTTTTTTAAGCACTTGAGATGTGAGTCAGATACCGGCTCTTACTTTAAATTTTAGAAATAGTTTCCTATTTAAATCATTTTAGGATAAATACAGCACAATGATATTTAACAAATACTTAACTGTGACTAATTTGTCTGAGCCATAATGCCAGTCAGTAGAAGAATTTTGAAAGTGAATAAAATACAATCACTGTCCTCAGTGGGAGGAGCTTTATTCTGTATATAAAAATTAAACAAAGAGACAACATTAATACTATGCCAAATATGTGTGCTTTAAAAAGATGGTACAAGCACAGTGCTATGAAGGTTCTAGAGGGGAGCTCAAGGAAGGCTTCAGATGTTGTGTTTGAAATGAGTCTGATTTTAATTGGGAGAGGTGAGTAAATTTGTTAATTAAGTGGGACAATTTACTAAATGTTAATTTGGTAACTAGCCAAGTCACATTATTCTCTATTACTGTTCACTGACACTGTCCAGAATAGCCCATTATTGTATACCAACACTTTAAAAATACAGGATTGGAATTCTCTCTCCCTTTTGCTTACTGGCAGTCCTATCTCCCACAATAAAAGCTGTACATGCAGGAATAGTCATTATTAGCTTACATGCAATTGGCAAATGTAAATATAATTCAGAAATCACATAGGTTCATTCATTATCTTTCCCAGCACACTTACATTTTGAACTGAACAGGGGCAAGCCTTCTCACAACTAAACATAAAGCAATATTTAGACTTAGCAATATAAAGACTTTAAGGAAAAAAGCAGGAAATTATTCAGGAATGCCTGTCTTTAGTGCAAATAGAGTCTTGTCTGGAGGCTTCAGGAACCTTTAAGCTTTTCACACCATTAAGTTAGATGATGAAGCTACATGGTGTAATGAAGATGTGAAATCATTTTCCCAGTGTGTGTGTGTGTGTGTGTGTGTATTGGTGGTGGAGTGGGGTGGGGGTGAGGGAGTGAAAATCAAGAAGGCTAAATGCTAAATCAGATTTTTAATTTTGCTTGGAACTTCTTTCAACTGGAATCGAATGCCCCCAAGGACCTCTATGTCCAAGGAGGAAGCACACATTGCAGGGTAAAGCTCTGAAGCAGTGCCGTCCAGGAGAAACATGAGACATGTAGGTGATTTTAAGTTTTCTAGTGGCCACATTTAAAAAAAAAAAGAAAGTAAAAAGAAACTGGTGACATATTTCAATATGTAATCAATATAAAAACTATTGAGATATTTTACGTTCTTATTTCACACTTTGAAGTCTGTTATATATTTTAACAACACTTCACACTTGGGATTAGCACATGTAAATGCTCAAGAGCCACACACTGCGAGTGGCCACCATACCAGACAGCATAGCTCTACAGGGTGACTGGGCTGTTGAACATCAATGCCAGTGAAGATGGAATCGTGTTAGCATTTTTCATCAGAATAGCAAGTAACAAAGTTGCATAGGTTTTGAGTGCTCTGCTCCCAAGTCTGTATTTCCTGTAAGCAGTTATTTACTAAATGTTTACTAATGCAGTAAAAATAAAGAAGTTATTTTTAGTGCATCATTTTAAGGAACATACTTGTATTTTTGTACATTCTTTCCTAGCCTTCCTCTCAGCTAGGGGTAGTCATATGATACAGTCCTGAGCAATGAATTGTAAAGGAAAGTATGCTAGTCATATGGGAACGATTTTTTTTCCCTAATAAGAAGACAGGCCACCAGGAGAAGGCTTCTTCCCCCTCATATCGCTCCCTTTCTGTCTGAAATATTTCATATGAGAACATGATGCTGGGCACTATGGCAGCCACCTTGTGACTATGACAGAAGGTTCTTTAATACTTGAGGATGGTAGGACAGAAAGGCATCTTTCTTTATCAAAGAAGTAACTGCACCCAAGAAGCCAGCCAAGCAAATACGGGAGTGGGAGGGAGGCAGGGCCAGAGTTCCTTAGCAGAAGGAAGAACAGTTTGGCAGAGAAACCGTCCCCGATGGGCAATGCTTAATATTCACAGCAAAATTTACCCTTTCTTTCCTCCCATTTTTCACCCACCCCCTCGCTAATGATTCCACCTGACTGGACCATTCTTTCTTTAGTTATGACAAGAGTGCTGACATTACTCCCAACACTGAAGAGAGTATAAAGCTAGAAGCAGCAGACAAACAGTCCTCTGTTCATTAAGGTTCATGCACAAACAGTGCAATCTGGCCATAACATATGTTTAATACTTTAAAAAATGTTTAATGGTACCTATTGTGAAAAAAGTTCTTTCACTCACTTAGAAAGAATATATTGTGCTGATTAAACCAATTTGGGTTAATTGGAAATGCATAGAAAACTCATTGTTCAGAAATTTGTCTTGGGCTCACAATGTTTCAAAAATCCATATTCATATTAATATATGGCTACAAATGGAAGCAGTTTTTTTACTGCTTTCCAATGTTAGGGTAATCACAGCACAGTGTGCCCCTAATGCTGCTAAAGAAATGGTATGGGTGACTTTTTTAACTACTAAGTGTGGAAATTTTGGTAAGTGTACTTCCTGAGCCATATGATAAACTGAATGGGTGGCCAGACCAATTCTTTTGTTTCTTTTACTCATCAAAGGATTTTTTTCCCCAGTGAACAAAGACGAAGTTTTATTTGACTACTTACCAGTCTCACATTAAAGTTTTCACCACATGTAAATGAACTGGGAGTCTCAAAGGATTCAGTTCTTTATCAACTCTTTACTCAATTCCCATACTTAATTTTCATTAGAGCCAACTCATCAAGTGCAATAAAAGTATTCAGTTTGTTGACTGCCATGACCAAGTAATCCATCTTTATGAGTCAGTGGAATGAACAAGGAATCAATTCACCTTATTACATTTTTTTCCTTCATGAAGAAAATGTCAATTCAATCCTGGCTTAGAAAACTGGTTTATCACCTTACTGAAGTGTACCTGTAGACAAGAGAGGATTTTAAAGTCCCTTTCAACTTTGGTAGAAATTTGCCCTAAAAAGTTAAGTAACCAAACAGATGGATTGCTAAAATTTTACTATCATATTAAACATAGTAAGAAAAACCCAGAGGCTAATTTTTAAAGCTGAAAGCTCTCTGTGAACCATGATAGAAGCATCTGGATCCTTCAAAATTTAGCCCCATCTGCACACATGTCCATTCATTTTTCTCTCCTTAATTTCATGCTACCTAAAAATCTCACCTTCCTTTGTTGAAATTTTCTTCCATTGCAAAAGTCTTAAGATTTATCATTTTAAGAGTCCAATAAAATTACCAAATTGTTAACATCTATGCCTTCAACCAACTCTAAGGTAAAGATCCAGGCTTAGTTGAATCTACCAGTTATTTCAGGTTGTTTTTGAACATGCTAAAATGCCTCATTGGAAATTTTTCCATAAAGGTTTTTTTAAAAATTCAGCTTGCCATCCTTTTTGTTCTCAAACGGATCCAGTCGCATTTGTAACACAAAATTTCCCATATCTTCCCATTTTATAAATATAGCCTTCTAAGCCTCTGAAACTGTCTTTTAAGGGAACTTAAAAATCACTTTAAAAAATTTGTTTCTTGGCTTGCGCTTTTTCTGGCTATTGCTTCTAGAGTCAGCCCTCTTTTAGTTTCAAAATTTGCATGGCTGCCTTTTTGACGTTGCTTCGAGTCAGCCTAATGCAGGTTATTGCTCGAGGTTTGTTCCAGCAAGATAGCCTTGAAGTTAGGCTTATTTGCATCTTTTCCGTAACAAAGTCTTTATTTTAAATAGTTAACCTAAGGACTTCCTATGCTTTGGGGTGTACTGTCGCTGCTTACCACTTCTTAGTCGTCATGACTAGCATGGTGGTGCTATCACATTCATTACAAAGATCTTCCACGACAGGCACCGACTTCAGAGGATTCAGGTTTCACTGCCGTTCATATTTTCACTGGTTTCAGACTTACAAGTAAACTGTCCGGCCACCCGCGTTCCCGGATAAAAGCAGGAGTTTCGTTATGAATTAATTACATACCACGACAGAAAGTGCCCGCGCTCTGCACGCAGAACTGAGCGGTAGTAAACAAACCCTCGCGCAGGCGCAGAGGCAGCCGGAGGCTACCCTGGCTGCGGGGAGCCGAGGGGATTTTTCGTAGAGTGAAAAGTGGGGGGTGGGGGGGGAAATCCCAGAACACCGCGTCTTAAGGTGATAAACTGGTTGCCTTTTTCTATTTTTACATATTTCTGGCTTTTGTCCCTCGCAGAGACGCCCATGGAACTCCTCGGCCTCAGAGAACCGCTGCTAGTCTGTCAGCTCGTTACGCTAGCCTCATGCGTTCTTGCCACGGAGTCTTGATCTTTCTTATGTGACTACAACATAGCACTAATCCACAAGGGCTGGAGAAAAAAGGGAAATATAAGGCCGCACAACGCGCGCGCACATACACCCCGCCCTCCCAACCCTCACTTCTCGCGTCCGTGCTTCCCCAACCAACGCGAGATCTGCCTGGGCGAGTACGTGTGCGTATGCGCCCCACTAATCATTTCTGGCGCGAAAAAGTTTCACCCGCAGTACTGGTGAATGGAATTTGACTCTCGAGAAAGGTCCGGTGATCCGATGATTCACGTTAATTCGATGAATTCAAGCACACAACACTACATTCTTCGAGACGTTGCAGTCACTACTCCACATGCATGTATGGTTCTCCCTTCTTTCCGTTTGTCATTTATTAGCCGTGAACTCTGTGTAACTAGTTTCGGCGAATCAAGCAGGAAAGGAGTGGGCCTGGGAGAGCTGATCAAGGATTTAAAATAAGAATGAGTTTTACCTGTTTGGAAAGATAACTGGGAGCGACATAATAAGTCTGAGGGGCCACAACATTTTTTTTTTTTTGGTTTGTTTTTTATTGGAGTCCAAGAGAGGATGAATGTGAACTAAGGTACTGCAGTGGGAAGGAAATAGGGAATTTGAGAGGTAAATGAAGGCAGTTAACTATACAGCACAGGGGGTAGGTGAGACTAGAAAGAACTGTTGGCAGTAAAAGAAGTTTTCGTAAAATAGTGTGAACTTACTCATGTTCATCAACAAAAAGGCAGAAACGCCACACATTTAGCCCATGATATGCAATGTGGAAACTGGGAAGTCCCTAAGTGAGTGGAACAAGGATTCTAAACCATAGTTCTGAGCTAGGGCTGAGGCTGGGATTAGGCAGAACAGTTAATGGTAAAAGGCGTCAGGAATTTGGGAACTGTCTTGAGAGAATTGACTAATCTGACTTCTCTCTCTCCCAGGATGCATGAGACAACTGCACACGCATTGGATTTTGTCCTGCAACATGTTAAAGGTACCACCTGACACCTGACATGTTCTCCCCCCAGTGAAACCCCTAGTCCCTACTGCCTCCCACCAACCCCACCAACCTCAGCCAGAATGAAGTATGGACTGCAAGGAATGAAAAGGTGGACTTTAGCTATCCAGTTACTTAGGTGTACCACTGGCACATTACCAAAGTACATCCTTCTAGCCTCTAGCTTTCCCATTCACTTGGTAGAGAGTCCATCTTGATATTGGCAACAGTCTTACACAAGAGCTTAGCCAGTATATTTTGATTCTTTGTTTGCTGTATGGAGTTCAAGGCAGACGAATGATTGAGTATATTATTTTACTACACCAGGAAAAGAATGGCTTGAAGGTAAGCAACATAGCTTCATCTGTAGAGAAATATAGGACACTACAGGATTTGTGTTAGCAGTGATGAAGAAGGATCCAGGTGTTAATATATAGAATCGAAGTACTTCAGTGAAGACTCAAGGTAGCTATCAAGAAGTTCTGCCTGGAGCATTTTGGAAAACCTAAAGTATATCCTAGTAGTTGGGCTGTATGTGTGGAGTTCCTGGGAAAATGTTTGAGGAAAATGCATGGATGCCAATAGAATAGGATTTCTGGGTTGGAGCCACGGTATCTTGTTTTAGGGAGTGGGATTATCTAGCTGTGAGAGGCATGGCATCTCAGTATGGTGTCACAGAAAGTATGTGGCATTGAAAATCAGACCTGGGCTTTAACTCTTAGGTATGCCAGTTACTCTATGTATGACCTCTCTAAGCCTCAGTTTCCCTGTTTGGAAAATAGTGCCTACCACATAGGATGACTGTAAAGATGAAGTAAGGTCCTGTTGGAAAGACTGCATGGGTAATTAGCACAGAACTTGATGTATATGATCAACAAATGAGAATTTCTTCCCTGAGCCTCTCACTACATCTGTGCATTTTGTCTACCCATAAAATTGCAGATGCTCTATGTTGCATAGGTCCATCTGTAATTAGAGAGCCTTAAGACAGGTTCTCCACCTTGCCTGCACATCAGAATCACCTGGGGAGCTTTAAAAAAATCCTAATGCCCAAGCTTCACCCTAGACCAATTAAATAACAATCTTTGGGAGTGGAACCTGGACATCAGTATTTTTTAAAGCTCTTCATTTTGCTAATAAGGTAGAGAACAACTACTTTAAGAGTTTCCTCTAGAAGAAAGAGAAAAAAATTAGACCTGTGATTTAAGATCACCTCTCTGAATAGCTATATATTCAAGAAATTTCTAGAGGAGTAAAGGCTAGAGCTCGAGATGGGCAGATAAGTAGGGCGTAGTGAGCCATATTCAGGAAAGAATGTGGCAAGCATCCTCATTTGGGAAAGGTCATTAATAGGCCCCAGGAATATACAGGATCTGTTGTAGAGAAGGAGGACCCTCAGCCTCCGAAGTTGGCCTTTGATCTAGCACAGACAACACAGGTGATGATGTCTTTATTGCTTTACCATGCGGTGAATCTTGGGCCATCAGCAGGGCTGATGGCAGTAGTGGGGTGCCACCGCCTTTTACAACCAGCTCTGCTCCATTGGTTGGGAGGCATCTTTGAAGTGTATGTATGTGGGTATTCTTCTCCAGTGGGAAGGCCCGTGCGGGAAAGCATGTTCAGGCGACTGATAATGAGGCTGCTTCCCATAGCCTCCTGTCGCGTTAATGTAGCTGCGCTGACTACCCGAGTGGTTCTCTCAGTACTAACAGATGAAGAAGGTGAGGTTCAAGCCTGTTTATAGCCTTCGAGTGAATAGAAAATCACTTGGAATAGGAAGGATGGCATGTCTGGGCAGGAATTTGAGCTTCTGAGAGAAACCGGCACTTTCCAGTAGGACAACTCTGATTTCTAGGGATGTAAGTAATTCAGAAGCTGAAGCCAGCATACGACTTCATAGCATACGACTTCAGTCATTGGATGCCAAGACTTTAGCCATCATGGTCAGGAATATCTTCTGCCACATGAGCTAACCGGTCTTTAATTGGGACCAATTTCTTGAGAAGCATAGAAATGCGTCTAGTCCCTAGCAAGAGCATTTGTGAAATGGCTAAACACTGCTGGCTCAGTAAGGAGACAGGGGATTCTGAGACTATGCAGGGGGCAATAGTCCAGAGGTTATGAACTGGTGGATAGCAGATCATGCAGAAGTGAAGGGAGGAATGGGGGAGAAGAACAGGGGACACAGGGTGAGGAAGGAAGCATGTTGAAAGTTAGAAATGGCAAAATCCCAAGTGGTAACAATTTCGTTATACTGTTATAAAAGTATGTTAAATAGGAATGCTGCCTGAGATCCTATGATGAGAAATCCCAGAGATAGGCCACTCTCTAGGACTTTCACAAAATCTAGGCAGGTTGTTAGGCTATTCTTAAAGCCTCACCCATAGCAAGGGCATACAGGAGTCAAGGTGAAGACTGGGTAAGGGATTTTAAAGAGGATATTTGAATGGAGTTATTGGTGTGCTGTTGGGCAAACAAATCAGAGAAAGAGGAGTGGCTGTACTCTTTCCTGAAATGTAAGCTTCCTCTCTAAGCAGGCACAAACGGAGAGAAAGCCTTAACTTTAAGTTAGGTGGCAAATTTTGACTATTACATAGAACTGAATATTTGATTACTAACTTTTCTTAACTAAAAGTGATCAGAAAAAGGAATTGGAGTGGCCAAGTTTTTATTTAGAAGAAGAATCAGCCCCTACAGAGTGTTTCCATAGGTGCAGTGGAAGATAAAAATTAAGTCGCTTTAAGTTAGTCCCAAAATCATGCTTCTTCTAGGTGCTGGAACACTTGTTTAAGCACCTACTTTGTTTTTTATATTCAAAGATGTACAGATGAATTGGATGACATTCCTCCTTACAAGAATCTGTGAACTACACCACTTAGGATGGCCAACATCGAAAACACCAAGAACAACAAATGCTGGCGAGGATGCAGAGAGAGGGGAACCCTCTTACACTGATGGTGGGAATGTAGTTCAACCATTGTGGAAAGCAATATGGAGGTTCCTCAAAAAACTAAAAATAGAAATACCATTTGACCCGGGAATCCCACTCCTAGGAATTTACCCAAAGAATACAAGTTCTTAGATTCAAAAAGACATATGTTTATTGCAGCACTATTTACAACCTAAGTGTCCATCAGTAGATGAATGGATAAGAAGATGTGGTGCATATACACAATGGAGTATTATTCAGCCATAAGAAAGAAACAAATCCTACCATTTGCAACAACATGGATGGAGTTGGAGGAAATTATGCTCAATGGAATAAGCCAGGCAGAGAAAGACAAGTGCCAAAGGATTTCCCTCATTTGTGGAGTATAACAATGAAGCAAAACTGAAGGAACAAAGCAGCAACAGACTCACAGACTCCAAGAAGGGACAAGCAGTTACCAAAGGCGAGGCGTGTAGGAGGGTGGATGGAGAGGGAGGGAGAAGGGGAATGAGGGGTATTATGTTTAGTACACATGGTGTGGGGGGTCATCGGGAAAACAGTGTACACAGAGAAGGCAAATAGTGAATCTGTGGCATCTTACTATACTAATGGACAGTGACTACAATGGGGTGTGGTTTGGGACTTGACAATATGGATGAATGTAGTAACCACAATGTTTTTCATGTGAAACATTCATAAGAGTGTATATCAATAATACCTTAATAAAAAAAAATTGAAGGAACAAAACAGCAGCAGACTCACAGACTCCAAGAAGGGACTAGTGGTTACCAAAGGGGAGGGGTAGGGGAGCATGGGTGGGGAGGGAGGGAGAAGTAGATCAAGGGGTATTGATTGGTACATGGTGTGAGGGGGATCACGGGGAAGACAGTGTAGCACAGAGAAGACAAGTAGTGACTCTGTGACATCTTACTACACTAATGAACAGTGACTTCAATGGGGTATGGGGGGAACTTGATAATATGGGTGAATGTAGTAACCACCGTGTTTTTCATGTGAAACCTTCTAATGAGTGAATATCAATGATACCTTAATAAAAATAAATGGATTAAAAAATCTGTAGATGTAATGCAATATAATACATGCAATAATAGGAGTTATAGGTATGAAAATTTAAGAAATCTATAATAAACAGGAAGATGTAAGTAACTTGTTTTGGAGGGAGTGAGGGTAAGAGTTTAGAACCAAAGAGAAGATGGGACCCAGAAAGATTTGAGAGAAGAGTAGATGTTCTCAAGGTGGAGAAGGCAGAGGAAACTGTGTCAGGTCTCAGTTGTGGAGGCATGAAACAGCATGGTGTGTATGTGGGAGAACTATGAGCAGTTGCAGGGCGCATATCCAGGTGATTAAAGTGGGGGTGAGGGGGAGGCCACAGGGATTATGAGGTTAGCATGTAGCTACTGGCAGGCTCACCAGCAGGGAGTTAATGGAATTTAAAAAACATACACACACACCCTAAGACGACAGTCATTTCCTCTCTCTCCTCGCCCTTCCCTTTTACAAAATTTGTCAATTTGTTAGAGTGCTGAGAGGGTGGTACTGGACTTCTCCATCCCAGTGCCTACAGCTGATTGGATCTGGCTGGCTGACTTAAGCTGAGCCAAACAGACTCTAAGAATTTAAATCAAAATATTGGGAGACTGAGTCATATTATTGAAATATAACTGACAAATAAGATTGTATATATTTCAGGTATACAATCTCCGAAATATTTTATAGCTCCAGTCAGCATTTCAATAAATTACATGCTTTGCTGCAATTTGGTCTTTTTAAATGTGAAATGGTAACAGTGCACCCTTCAAACTGCATACCTTCTAATTTCATGACATTGACTTTTTAATAAGTCCAGACTAGTTCTCTTCTAGAATATTCTGTATTCTCAATTTGGCTGGTTATTTCCTCATAATGCCTTATAACTTGTTTCTCTCACCCCTGAGTCCTTTTTTTTTAACTAGACATTATGAGTAGAGGTTTGATTAGAGTCAAGTTAAACATTTTTAGAATGTTTCACTAGTAATGTTAAACTTCACTAGTAACATTAAGTCACATTGTTTCACATTACCCACATAAATTCAGGTTGTCTCACTATTAGTGATGCTAAATTGGCTACTTGGTTAAGATGGTGACTCCCCTCCCAGTCTCACCATTGAAAAAGGACACATTTCCCTTTGTGATTTGTAAATAACCTACAAACCAGCTGTTCCTAACAACTTTTCATCTGATAGTCTGACTTCCTTACCAATCTGGATTCCTTTTATCTCTTTGTGTTGTCTGGTTGCAGTGGCTAGGACCTCCTGTACTATGTTGAATAACAATGGAGAGAGTGGGCATCCTTGTCTTGTTCCTGATCTTAGGGGAAAAACTTTCAGTTTCTCGCTGTTAAGTATGATGTTGGCTGTGAGTCTGTCATATATGACCTTCATTATGTTGAGGTACTTGCCTTCTATATCCATTTTCTTGAGAGTTTTTATCATGAATGGATTTTGAATTTTGTCGAATGCTTTTTAGCATCTATAGAGATGATCATGTGGTTTTTGTCCTTTTTGTTGATGGATTTTCAAATGTTGTACCATCCTTGAATCTCTGAGATGAATCCCACTTGATCATGGTGTATGATCCTCTTGATGTATTTTTGAATTCAGTTTGCTAATATTTTGTTGAGCATTTTTGCATCTATGTTCATCAGGGATATTGGTCTGTAGTTTTCTTTTTTTGTGGTGTCTTTGTCTGGTTTTGGTATTAGTGTGATGCTGGCTTCATAGAATGAGTTTGGAAGTATTCACTCCTCTTCTATTTTTTGGAAAACTTTAGGGAGAATGGGTATTATGTCTTGCTTAAAATGTCTGATAAAATTCAGTGGTGAATCCATCTGGTCCGAAATTCCTTTAATTCTGCCTTTACTTGTCCTCAAAAACATGGAAGACTTTGCTCAGTGTTTTGGTAGGGTAGAGCAGGTCCTCAATCCCTATTCATCTGGGATTGTTCTTCCTTCTTTAAGTAGGCCTGGATTGCTATATACTTTCCTCTTAGAAATGCCTTTGCTGCATCCCACAGAAGTTGGGGCATTGATCTCTGTTTTAATTTGGTCATTGATTCATTGGTTATTTAGGAACATGTTGTTAAGCCTCCATGTGTTTGTGAGCCTTTTTGTTTTCTTTGTACAATTTATTTCTAGTTTAATACCTTTGTGATCTGAGAAGTTAGTTGGTAGAATTTCGATCTTTTTGAATTTACTGAGGCTCTTTTTGTGGCCTAGTATGTGGTCTATTCTGGAAAACGTTCCATGTACACTTGAGAAGAATGTGTATCCTGCTGCTTTTGGGTGTAGCGTTCTTTAGATGTCTGTTAGGTCCATCTGTTCTAGTGTGTTGTTCAGTGCCTCTGTGTCCTTAATTATTTTCTGTCTGGTGGATCTGTCCTTTGGAGTGAGTGGTGTGTTGAAGTCTCCTAAAATGAATGTATTGAAAAAAAGCTTTCTTTTAGGGAAACTATTTTAATGACTCTCTCAGTGGAAAATTTGACAGTCATTTGTTTTCAATTCTGTTTAAGGCAGTGGGAAAAGTTCTTGATTTTTAAAAGGACTTGTTACTCAATTATTGGAGCTGCTCACTAATATCTCAATAGCCTTCCCAATATTTCCAGCTGTTCCTTTGTTTGGTTCCCAGGAGCTTTTTAAATCCAAGCAATGCACCATTGTAGGATTTGAAGTAAAGGTGGGTGAGAACTCACCCTTCCATGGTAAAATGGAAGAAAAACTAGTAGGTGGGAACCAAGAGCCACATGACATCTTGACTGCACCAATTCTCAGGAAGATCAGCTTTAGAAAGCATGCTTGGGGAAGTGAGGATCTCCAAATTAGTTCCCATAAAACTGTCTGCGTGCTTTAAGAAGTCCTATAATAAACCAGAAGATGGGACCCTTGGGAAAGTCTTTGTCTGTGCCAGTCTGAAGACCTGCTCTACCCTACCAAAATACTGAGCAAAGTCTTCCATGTTTTTGAGGACAAGTAAAGGCAGAATTAAAGGAATCTTGAGGATGGCTTTAAAAATTGTAGGCTGGATTTCACTCCTCTGGTCCTGCTGCATACTCCTATTTTAATTTCAGGAGCTGAATATTGATTCCTTCTTTCTTTACATTCATCTTGTAACTTCTAAACAGTGCCACACTCCCTATCCCCAAGGCAAATTGTTTCCCCAGGCAGAGGAGAAAAAAAAATCACATAAATTATTTTCAAAATATTATCACAACTATTCAAGTATTATTGGGTTTGATGGGTTTGGATGGAAAACAACTGTCTCTTTTTTCTTCCAAATGGCCAGGAATAAGTTTAGTGATTACATATTTAATGTTTTTTAACAGAATAAGTATATTAGATAGCATGTTTTATAGCCATCCTTAATAATACTCTGGATTATGGTTCCTTATAAAATTATTTTTATTACTTTATCATGAAGGTATGATGTACATATGCAACCATCCTAAAAGGAATGAATAATTTGGTCATTTTGTTGGTCTCAGTTGAAAGCAATCTTTTTTATTTCTCTTGTCAAAGACCTATAGTTGTGAATCACATCATATTAAATTGACAAGTTGTTTTAGTCTAGTTCATTATTCATGATGCAAAGTAGTATAGTATAGTGTGCCTACTCTGGGGTCAGATTAAATAGTACCAGATCTAGCTCCCACACTAATTAGCTGTGCAGTTTTGGGCACATTACTTATCCTCTCTAAGCCTCAATTTCCTCATCTATAAAACAGAAATGTTAATAATAGTACCCATCTCCTGGTTTGATGGGAGGATGAAATGACATCATGTACTAAATACCTGGCATATGTTAAATATTAGCTGTTGTTGTTGGTATTGACTAAGAGATGATACATATATCACCATCCTGCTGGCTGTCAGAATTTTTTTCAAAAACATATCCAACATTCCTGATAAATGAATTTCCTTAAAGTGGCAAGTGTTAGATTTATGAAAGTTGAGTTTCTCTGAGTTTTATACAGGAAAAACTAGAATTACCCTGACTCTTCTCTTGAAATGAAAGAAGTAAAATATATCTTAAGCTGTGATTGTTTGAGTCAGGTAGGAGTTTCAGCTTCTTGAAATCACAGTCCGGGTCCCCTATGCTACCTCTTTTCTTACAGAGTTTGCATTCCTGCACATTGAAAGTCAGCATTTCTCCCCCAAAAAATAAATATTCAGAATTGCCATGATGAGGATTCTGAGTTAGAAATAATCAGTTATATGTCAGGCTAATGAGACAAATGTATAGCTAACTTAACTCCCTAATTTGGGATAGTCTAAATGCTACCCAAGGGATTAATGTTACTAATCAAATTTATTTTTAAGATAATTTAGCAACTCGCATTCAAAAATATTTATCTTTTCTCCCATAAAATTGTAAAGCATTTGCAAATTGTTCCTAGTGTCAGCAATCCCCTGTGGTTCTAAAGTATCTCTCAGTTGAGCCTGTTGGACTTCAGTGAGCGGTACTGTATAAAAGTCAGAAACCCAGGGAGAGAAGCATGTTTCCCCTGCTTCTCCCTCTACTCTGTGATGGCGCTCCACGGTCGTTTTATGAAGCTGGTGTTTTCATTCAGTTGCACCTAAATAGAATTTTTTAAGGAAAAAAAAAAGCAGTGGAGGATGGAGGAAGTTACCATCACAGTGTCCATACTAATTCCTAGAATCTTTTCAAGATTTAGGGTGGCAGCAATTCACTAAGGAAAGGGCCATTAGGTAAATTTGGCTCTGAAAATGCTAATTGAAAGTCCTCCTCATCAATTCAGCCCTTTTCCCTTTTCCTTTCTTTAACTGTAGGGTCCCACGGTGACTGGTTCTGAAAGAAATCATCCCCTGCAGCAGTTACCTAGCACCATGGCAACAGGGACGTCAGCAAAGCAGGAGAGACCCTGCACAGAACAGCTCCTACCCGGCTCCCTCCCAGCCTCTGTAATTCAGCAACTGCCTTGAGGCCTAGGGATGGAGATAAAGACATCTAAAAAAATGCACACTCAAGAAATCACACTTGTTTCTGTGGTTTTGCCCATGAACATAGATATATGGGCATAAAGTAAACTACGCTATGAGAATTTCCCCTCCCCCAAAGAACAAGGAGCATATTTAAAGGGTGGGGATGGGTGATGCAATGGAGACCGGGAGGCGAGCATGGGAGGGTGTTTCGGTTTAAAGATATGTAAAAATTATTTATAAGGTAACAGTAAGCTGATAGTAGGGAAAGTCAGAGCCCTAATATATGGTCTGATTTATATTTAGACAGAAGACTTGGGGAAAATATTTTTAAAATATTTTAATTTACCTGAAAGTGAAATAAACATTTGTTTTTGATGAGCACTAAGTGGGGGTGGGGGTGGGGGTGGGGGGTGACGTGTAAGATGTTCAGCTGTCCATGGTGCTGAACATTCGATCGTCTCAGATGTGCCCAAGGGTCTTCACAGGGAGGTTAGGGAACACCTTGCCATGTTAAGATACTGATGATAAGAAAGAAAGAGAGGCGCTGGAGAGAAAGCATCATTTCCCCCCCACCAGGCAACTCTGAATGCCCAGGATAAAATGTTCCAATAAAAAATAAAACAAAAAAGAAAGTGGAGAAGCTGGAGGTTTGGATGACTGACTCTTCCCCTTTTCATATGGAGATTTTTGGTCAGAGCCAATCAGGTCAGAGATTTCTGTTGCTTTGCTCCTGGAAGAAAACGTGGGGGAAGGGAGAGAAGATGGCTACAGTCTCCCCCTGAGCCACATGATCTATTTCCCATGTGACACATTCCAGAGCCTTGGAAAGAAGGGAGGGGCACCAAAAGTGTGGGGCTGGGGGTGGTAAGATAGTTTAACTGTCAGCCCTGTACAGCGTCATCTTGTCTTCCTACCAGGAAGCAGGCTGGGAGCCAAGGGGAAGGCAGAGGACAGCTATGAGTGCGTTTCCACGCTTTCCTGGTGGTTTATGGCATTCTCCAAACTCCTATGCAAGGGCTATTCCTGATCAAGAAAACCCAAGGAGACCGTCTCTGAAATCAAGTCCAGATGAAGGTATGTACTAGGGATCGCTCGGGTATCAAGCCTGAAATTTGGCTCAGAGGACATAATACCTTCTTTTTTTTTCCAGGCAATTTGAAGATTTTTGTCCTGGCTTAGATGCTGGTTAGGGGCTTCTGATTTGTTGCAGGTCCAGAAAAGATACCTAGGTAGTTCTATAAAATGAGTAATTCACCAGAGTAAGTGCCTGTTGAAGAACAATTAGATGGAGATTGTGCATAGTGATAGTTAATAAAACAAAGCACTGATAGGTAAAAAGGATATTTTTTTTTCCTATGAAGCCTGGAAAGATGAAAGAATGATATTACTGAAACCATCTAGATTTCCTTGTCACTGCAGTGAAACCCTGCTTATTCTGTGCCCATGTTCCCAGAGGTGGCTGCAGTGGCTTAGGGAGGCTCAATGGGCAGGCAGGCTGTTGCTTTGGCCGTGCAGTTTGTCTTCTTTCTCATGTTCCTGTTAACAGGAGCGCTCGTGATTGTTTCCAGCTCTGGTTTAGGACAGGAGATTGCCACTGCATTCCAAATCCTAGAGAATAGCTACCAAGAAGGTCCCCGCAGAAGTTCTCAAAGGAATTTTCTAAAGTTACTGGCTAAAATAATCTGCCTTTCACTCAAACCTGGGTATCTTTGTCCATTTCTACCCCAGCACAAAGAGGAACGCTAGCCAATTTAAATTCTATGTCATCTTTAACAAACATTTATAAAGTTCTTGCTTTGTGCAAGATGTCATTCAAAGCACAAATAATCAGTCATTTAGCCCTTATAATAACCCTCTGAGGGAGGTATTTTTCATACTCACATTTTGGAAATAAAGAAACTAAAACACAGAGAAGTTAGGGAACTTTCCCAAGTTCACACAGCTAGCAAATAGAAATAGCATTTGGACCCAAGAAACTTGACTGTACAGTCCATGATCTTAACCACTGAACTTCACTTCCTCCCTGTTCCTGTTATTTTAAATGATGTCGACAGTTGATTTAGCTACAGAGTTTTGTTTAGCTGATGTTTCTAGAAGACTGAATCATCTTGCCTGGCTAAGATGAATCCCAGTGAAGTCTATATTTAATCATGAATTATCCCAATAGTCACATTCTGTACACCCAAATAACTCAGTAAGTAATTGCCTGTTCTTCTTCCCCTTGTGCTATGTAGATATCTGGTAGTAAAACATTGTGTTGCTATGGTTACCAAATGATGACTAAAGGAAAAAAAGAAATCTAGAATTACATCACGGTTGATTTTTTTTAAATTAAATCTAGAAACAGTCTTCCATACTCAGAACCTAGTAATAAGACCAGCCTAAGCATATTATCTTAAAAAGCACTTACCTGGTTTTGAAAAGTAATAAATTTAAAACTTTTAAATTATGAACATAAACAATGATATCAAAGTGACTACCTTTAAAATAATATACTTTAAAACAAGGGAATATATCTCTCTCCCTGAAAGCTATTTTAGGTTTTTAAGGGAAAAAGAGGCAGTTTTTAAAAACATTCTAGAGATTTCTGAGATATAAAGATTCCCTCCTGTTGGTCTGTGGAGTTCCCTTTCTGGCTCTTAACAATAAAAGATGACTGCTTTCATTCTCACATGCTGTGGGAAAATTAAGAGAAGTTACTAGGTCAAAGATACAAAAAGGAAGAAAAGGGATAGGAATCTAAAATTTATGAAATTCTTCACTAAATGAGGTATTTCCCTCCAGTGTTTCATTGAAGAATACTTTGAAGAGTAATTGTGTCTCCCGCAATACTGAACTTTAGTCCTTTGGATTAAACTTTTGATTCCTGCTGAAATCTACATTTCTCTGGGACAAGTAACACTTGTACACTATTGTAGTCATCTGAAGTGAGCTTTTGAGAAAAGGGACCATATCCTTATATCTTTGTATTTAGCACCAGATCTGGTTTATGGTAAGCTCAAATGAAAACTGGAAAGAGTCAAGATTCTGACAACATTCTGCTGGAGCCAGTCTGGGGTCGCATGCCCATTTTGCTTTGCATGTGTTTAAGGGAAGATCATGAGGTGGTAAATGTAAAGCGGGAGAGAACTTGACAACAGTCAGAATTCTGCCCGAAATTTTATATATGCTAATCAAACTGACCCTGGATCAATAGCAAACTTGAGTTGAAGAAGTATACATAAATTCTTCCCTGGGGATTACCAGTCCTGACAGTTTATTTATATTTAGAATGAAATTCTGTCAACACTTCTTTGTCATCCAGATGAGGGTCCCCCTAACAGCCTCATTTTCCTCTGATGTTTTGCTTGGCACCATCTCCCACTGTTAAAATAGTTCATCTTGGGTTGAGAGGGGTTGTCTTGAGAAGGTTAATTCCTGCCATCCTAATCAGTGTGGGTCCCAGTCCCCAGAAGGAGAGCTCCAGGACTGTAGGACTACTCCCTAGAGATCCCTGGGGTCTTCAGTGTCTGAATGGGCTGGAGCCAGACCGCCTTTCCTAGGTGGTGGCAGTTAGGACGCAAGTGCAAAAGATTGCTTAGTGCATCTTGAAAGTTTGCTTAGGATTTGACTTCAAACAAGCAGGCTAACTAGTCTTGAAATAGTCACCCCTCCTGATAATATACACAAATATGTCCTGTTATATTGTGTTTCCATCTAATCAAGTCATTATGGAGAGGAAGAGGTGGGTCTGTGATGAGGTGAGCGTCCTGGACCCCCTGCTCTCATCCTCCTCACCTCCAGTGTCACCTGCTGAGTGAGCAAAAGAAAGAGCCCTGAGTGCGGGAAGCTCCGTTCAGTGGGCCTGGTGCTGCACCACCCACCACACGGACGCGGGCTTCCCGGAGCAGGAGGCTTGGATCTGGAAGCTTCCCTGCGCTGCCTACTCCTCCTGCGCAAATCTAAAAGGGGACGATCCACTCAGCCAGCTGAACAGGAGAAGATGGAACAGAGGGAGAAAGTGGGGAGGCTTCCCCTTGAGGAGAGGCCTTGCCAAGCATGCTTTCAGCTGTGAGGTTAGACAGGAACGAGGGAATAAGAAGGGGGACAGTGAGCGTGGGCGAAGGCCCTGAGGAAGTGACACCTGGGTACTGCCTCTCAGTCCCGGTAACTCGCCCACTGCTTGCAAACCCTGTCAAATGAGTCGGGCCCTGCCAGCCCAATCAGCAAATCCTTTTCTAGGATACCTATGTAGCGAGGGGAAGGAACGGAGAGAAGAACCACCATGTGGGTGCAATTCCTCCTTCATGAACCAAGGCAAAAAGTGGGATGATACGGCAGGCGGCCTCTCCAAGAAAACAGTTTGAAAAGCAAGGTGGGTTTCCACCATGGATTTATTTCCCTGTTTGTAGAGTCATTTTCCCTGGGCTAAACTTTAAAGCGGTCATCTGGAGCCTCTCATTCAGCAGACTTTCTTAGGTACTGGATGTCTGCCTTGTTTAATCCTGGTAGAAACTCTGAGGTATGCATTTTTAGCACCAATTTCTCATCAGGAAACTGAAGCACAGAGACATTTAATCTGCCTGAAGTCACACACGGCAAACAGGGCCAGGATATGAATTCAGTCTTTCTAAATATGCTCTTTCCACTGTATCACAAGTAAAATTCTTTCCTCTGCATCCTTGGGTCTCTTGACTTGATGTTCAGTGTATATAATCAGAAGCAGGACTCAGGTTTCTTAGTCCCCAGTCCAACGTTTGAGGTGAAGTAGAAAGCACTATACTCTAAGCTTTCAGGGGTTTTAATATTCTGGATGCTGGTGGTGGGGTAGTGGAAAGCAATGGAATGGCTAATACGAATTTAGTCTTTACACTCAATTATATAAGAAATGCTCTATTGAATTAGTTCCTATTGCTGCTGTAACAAATCACAAATTTAGTGGCTTAAGGTTTCAGTCATTTGTTATGTCGTAGTTCTGCAGGTCCAAAGTCGAGGCAGGTTAGGCTGGTTTCTCTGATTTGAGTCTCACAAGGCTAAAATCAAGGTGTTGGCAGGACTGTGTTCCCTTTCAAAGGCTCTGGGGGTGATTTCCCTTCCAAGTTCATTTTGCTGCTTGGCTAAATCCAGTGCCTTGCAGTTGTAGGACTAAGGTCACAACTCCTTGATGACTGTCAGTTGGGGGTCACCCATTACTCCTACACGCCCCTCCCTGGTTCTCACATTTGGGCCCCAGCATCTCAGAGCCAGCAACCGCATGTTAATTCCTTCTCAAGGCTGGGCTCTCTCTCTCTGACTTCTGCTGCATTTCTCTGCTACCAACCAGAGAAAACTCTCTGTTTTTACTTCCCATGTAAAGCTCCATGACCTTAATTATACATGCAGAGTCCCTTGTGCTCTATATAACGTGACATATTCACAGGTTCTAGGGATTAGGGGGTGGACATTCTTGAGGGGGCCATTCTGCCTAATACACACATTATTTCCTTTAAATAATGGCCATGCTCCATTCTACTAGGCCAATGGGAAAGCCAGTGACAAACATTATTGAAACTGTCTTTCTTTTCCTCCTTCTAGATCCTGGGATTCTTATGCAGAGCAAAATATATCAGGAGGTTCCTCTAGCCTTAGATCTCCTCTGATGATAGCAGATATAACTGTGGTGTGAGCTGATGTGTCTCCCTGTCACTAACTCCTTAAAGGGTGGTGGAACTGCTGCGTTGGGACCACCGCTGGAGCAGTGGACTCCCTTCCCAGCCAGGGAACTCTGTGCGTGGACCAACCTCCCAGCTGCCCTCCTCCATTACCACCTGTCACTTACCTGAGCACAGTGAGGAAGGGAGGCAAGGGTCCCAGACCTACCTTTTTTTACAAATAGTTATTCACACACCATAAAATTCACTTATTTAAACTGTGCAGTTCAGTGATTTTGTTACATATACAGATCTGTTCAACCATCAGCCTAATCCAAATTCAGAGCAGTCTCATCATCCCAGAAAGCTCCCTTGTGTCCAGCCAGGCCACCTTTTGCACGGCTTCAGGAGACACGGCCACATTCCTGGGTCAGAGGTCCTTGTTTCTCCTTCCTTCCGTCTATG